ATTGCATTCCATCCACATGGTAGATGCCCACAAAAGCTGTTGAATGAATGAATGAATAATGAATGATTGTATCATTTTTACACAGTAGTTTATGTTATACCTTATCTATGTCTGATCTTAACAACCACATCATTGTCAGATCCCATTGTCACCTTTAATTATGAATTACAGGCAAAAGTGCAATCCTCAGAACTTTTTTTTTTAAGCAAAGGGCCCTTAAGTTTTTCCCAGTTGAGTATTTATGCCAGCTTTCTCCCTTACACAAAGCAGAGTTCTGCTAAGAATCTGAGCCTCATCTGATTGTTTTTAAATAGTCCCTGTCCCTTACTTTTCTTTTTAAACTTTGTATTTTGACATAATTTTACATGCAGTTGTAAGAAATAATACTGAGAGCCGGGCGCAGTGGCTCAAGCCTGTAATCCCAGCACTTTGGGAGGCCGAGGCGGGTGGATCACAAGGTCAAGAGATCAAGACCATCCTGGTCAACATGGTGAAACCCCATCTCTACTAAAAATACAAAAAATTAGCTGGGCATGGTGGCGCGTGCCTGTAATCCCAGCTACTCAGGAGGCTGAGGCAGGAGAATTGCCTGAACCCAGGAAGCAGAGGTTGCGGTTAGCCAAGATCGCGCCATTGCACTCCAGGCTGGGTAACAAGAGCAAAATTCCGTCTCAGAAAAGAAAAAAAAAAAAAAAAAGAAATAATACTGAGAGATCCTATGTACCTTTTACCCAGTTTCCTTCCACAGTAACATCTCATAAGTATAGTACAGTGTTTATACTGTAGATAGAAAATTGTTACAGATACAAGACACAAACCACTGACGTTATTCAGATTTACCAGTTTCACATGCACTTGTATGGTGGTGGAGAGTTGTGGAGTGGAGAGTAGATTAATGACACACATTCTTCTAAAGCCAAGAAACATTATAGTTTCAAAAAAGAATATTCCTTGAATATTGAAAGCATTTTTCTCATTGTTGCTTTCTGTATTTGGAGTGTCCAGCTTACCTGCCCGCTCTAAAGGTCACTAAATACACTGACTGGCACACTGACTCTGTAAGTGAACTAGCAGCAACTGTGGTTGGAATTGGATCTTCTCTTGCCTCGTCTTCTCCACTAGCTATTTGAGTGTGCAGGTACACACACACACACACACACACACACACACACGCTTTCTGCTACTTGCCTTTTTTTATGCCTGAGTACCTTGCTGACAAGTGCTAATAACAAAATACCCAGAGAGAGTCCACTTGAAGTTAACATACATTAAGCATTCTGAACTTGTCCTTTTGCTCATAGATTGTGCATAATTAATAATTAAACAGTTTCAGTTGTAATGGTTTGACCTTCTTGAACTGTTCATTATTCACAAGGCAAAGGCATCACTCAAACTTTTTCCTATTGTCCTTCGCTGTTCTCTAGCGTGCTGTGTGCTTGTGTTCCAGTTATTTAGCAAAAGGGGCTGACCAGGTACTTACTGAAACCTCTGAGGCTTGGAAACTGTCCTCCTTGATGACCAGAATTGCTTACTAAAATGGTTTATGGCAGCTGTTTTTATATAACAGTTGCCTGCTTGATAACAAGACCCAGCTTGTGTCCCTTCAGCAGGACCCTAAAGTTGATTTGAGACTAGACTCTCAGATTGAGGCTTTTGGTTAAGGTTGTGTCCACTGCTTCGTTCTATACCTCCATGCTTAGAAGTTCAACGGAAAAGCATCCGAAAAAGGCCCTTAAGGTGAAGTATGGCACCCAAGGTCTTAAAGAGAGTGACTTGCCTTAACAATTTAGAGTCGGTGTCAGCCAGTACTGAGAATTACCAGTGTAACTGCTTCTTCAACCCATATTTATATTTTTGAAATATATTTCTCCATCTTGCCACAACCTATATTTCATAGAGGGCATTTTTGAGAAGTAGCAGCAATGACTTTACTAGAGTCTCTGAACCCCTTGGGATGACTGGATACTTTCCCTTCCTGTGAGCTACAGCGAAACTGGAGCACAAATTTACTATATGCCTCCCTCCCTCCTCACAGATTTGAATTAGATAACAAAATAGGCAGGTTCTTGGAGATCTTTCACATCCTGATCAAAACTAACTTTGTAATTTTATTTGCTTTAAAAAGAGCAAAGTGTTCTGTAAAATCCTGCAGTGCAGTGCGGTGAACACTCCCAGATATATTCATTTGCTTTCCTATGGAGTTGTAACAGCCTGCATACTTCTGTGGAGTTGGAGGCTCTCAGAAAATGCCTTTGCCCAGTGTTTATGTGTGGCATTCTCACCATCCCCTACCACTCAGTCTTCTGCATCTCAGAAAATTCTCCCTTGAGGAATGCAAGAGATGTGGATTTTAAAACAAAAATAAATATCTGGCATTGTGCACGTGAGATTAGAATTTCCTCCACATCTTTGATGAGTGATTCTTTCCAGGCACCACTGAGATGAGAATCCACTCGCTGTGGATCTGCAAAGTCGACTTGGGCCGGCATTTTCAGAAGTGAAATAAATTATTCATGGGTACCACCCAGTGTTCCCTAGTTTTATAATATGAGGAACTTAACAGGCTACAATATCGGGTCTTAAATAAAATTAACTATCCATGCAAGATGTCACATTTCCTCATTTTGTTTCTCATCCGTTTTTAAATGACATCTTCATCAAGTTGTTTGTCTGTAATTTATTAATTTACTCTTGGTATCATACTTTGAAATGAGGCCCACATTAGCTCCATGTTTTATACCAGATCAAAGCCAGTCCAGAACTTTAAGCATCTTGGTAAATATTGAACCACATTAAGATAGCAGGCCTTTATTTTCCTCCGCATCGCAATTTAGAGCAGCTGCTACTCCAGACACTTTCAGTACTAGACCCTCAAAAGCCATCTATGAGGGGATGACTTAGAGAAGCTTCCTCACTGATCAGAGTCTATAATTTTTGCACCTCAGACTTTGAACTATCTTTTTACTAATAGTTCTTGAGACAGTAAAATGTCATTTCTTCAGCTGGGCCTTGTAGAATCTTACAGGCTTGGTGATATATATGGCTTTCCTAAAACAGGCTGCAGCTGAAATTGATATCATGTTTTATTTTTGCTCTTCAAACCGATGGGACTTCTGTGACCATTTTATAGTACCTTTATTGAGGACTTGTCATGTTATTTCGGGTCTTGTTTCTTTTGAGTGGACTGTTTCATCAGCCACCCATCCACCCCCGTTTTTCATGTCCTTTCTATATAATGCCTGCATGTAATCCTTTGAACCTGGAAAGATTTTGTTTTACTCCCATTTTTCCTTTGTTTTCTTTTCCTCTTGGAAGCCTTTCTCTACTGATGAGAATTTTAATTTTAGAATTACTAACCATTCCTTCTTCTGGATGAATAGATTAAATTCAAAGAGGACAGATATGCAAAAACCAAGAAACATTTTGTTCATGTTTCTTTTCTTTTAGCCTCTTCTGGTTTTTTGGTTTTTTTGTTGCTGTTTTTTGTCTGCCTTGACCCCCTTAGTTCCTTTTGATTTAATTGTATTTTCAGGCAGTTTCCAATTGTATGAATTGGAAACAAAGCTTTAATAAGAGTTCTAGTTAATTTTCTGTCTTGTAATTACCGATCTCATTTTTCTGATAATTGGCCACAGCGATTATATGTATATTTACTAATCACAGAGGAGGCTGTGCAATCTTATCTATCTGCCACCATTGATAATGACACGCATATTGCAGGGGTGCTTTCATCATCTTCTTTTTTCCACTACATCAAAGCTATTTCCTCTCGTTCTCAATAATGAATACATGCATGCATTTGACACAGTTGTGTGCTAGAGAAATTGTTTGGCTCCCACCAAATGCTGCATGCTCTGAGTTTCTTGCCTGCAGCGCTGGAAGGTTGTATGTAATGATATATTGCTCATCCAAATGGCCAAAGCACTCCAAAGCACAGTGAGATTAAAATAAGTCATTCCTTTGTTAATTTAAATAGGTGCATGTATCATACTTTGCAGGGCACTTTGTGTAGGGATGTCAGGGAGGAAAAAAGCCGCCGAAAGGTATTTTTAATAGCAAATGAGAATAGATGAGAATGGAGTCATTTGCAGCTGCCTACTTTATGTGGCTCTCTTGTTCCAACTGTAGGTCTAATGAGATGACTGTTAAAGTACTCTGCAGTGTAATTTCATTACATCCTGAGCTGTTACACTATAAACACAGTGGCGCTCTCTGTCATTCTTGGAAAAACTCCTAAATTCTTAAAGCCTTCCTTTGCAACCGGTAATGGGGTTTGCTCTCTGTGTTACGTGGTGGTGGTTGGTTGTTGCTGTGTAGTTTTCTTCTCTTTTGACTGACTCCCACCTCCATCCCAGTTTTGGTTGGTGGTCAAGTTGGGAGTTTTTCATTGTATCCTTAATTCACTGGCTTCCTCTCATATCAGTAGTCTGCCTAGACTGGCAAATAGGCTGAAATTTCTTTTCAGGAAACAACTTGCTCTATAAAAGCTTTTATATTAAAGTTTTTAAAAAAAATCTTATCCAAATTATTCTATTAGGGCCAAGCAGTAAAGAGCAGTTGAATATACAAACAAATGTAAATAAAAAGGAAAGTGTAAATAAATAGCAAATCCAGTAAAAGAAACAAAGGTCAACACAAGAATAATTTCACAGCTCTTTGTTAATTACAAGACCATTTGTGTGTTACTTAAATAATCATTAATTTCTCATTTACACTTTCCCTACCTTCCTTCCTACCCTGTGGCTATCATTGTCCTTTTTTCACCTCCCCTCCCTCTCAGCTCTCATGTTTCTCACCATTGTAAAATGTGTGTGGCTTTAAATTTGGCATTTTTACCTAAATGTGTGGAATAGGGGGAGATAATCTTTTTAATTGCTTGAGGCCTTATTTTCATTGTATTCATCTTTCTACTGCTCCTTCACATGGGTTGGGGAGGGGGAATATAAAGAAAGAGAAGGAACTGGTGTGACTTTTGGTGACATGTTTTTCCTCCATCCCAGGATTCGCCCATCCTTCCAGTTGGAGAGTTCTCGGAACCATTTGTACATTTCATCACTCAGTGGTGAGCCCGTTTACAAACATGCCATGCCCTCAATGTAAATGATACATGCCATTAACTCGGCGGCTCCATGAGACCTTATGGCTCTCCCTGCTTCCTTTTGGAGACAGGAGGGACTTCAAGGCCTTGGGCAGATGGGGCAGCAAAGCTGAAGAAATTGTTTAAATTATGTAAACGTTATTTACACAAAGGGTCATAAGCATACTTCAGAGCCTTTTTCCTGATTTAATAAACTGCTGAAAGTCAAGTTACTTCTTTAAGCACAGATACCGTTGCCATCCTTTTTTTTTTTTTTAAGAAATACACAATTTTATAGCCCCTATTGAACAGACATATGAAGCTTATTTTTATTAACGTAACCTCAAGTTACCCATAAAACTGTCTGTCACTTAGTGGAAGCAGCATAGTTTATTAATTCATCGGGTTTTCAGTAAATAACTTTTATCTTTGGTTGTATTTTAAATATAAGACTGGGGTCCCATTTCAATGAATTTCGACATTCGGAAGACTATGAAAACAGTTCATTCAGCCCACTTTAACCCTTAAAGAACTGAGAGGAGCCACAGGGGCCCTCAGAGCCTCCAGGCAACTCCTTGTCATTTTATACCTGAAGAAGAAACAAGCATTTTACTGCCACGGGTTTTTTTTGCCAGGCTTCTGCCTTTTTCCTCGCAGCAGAACGGATCTTTCTTTTATTACCCCTTTCACCATCATTCCCCTCTTCCATCATCCTGCAGGACTCACGTGGCCTTGGGAGGCCCGGGTGTTCCCCTGCCCTCTCCCTCTCCCCAGCACGCAGAATTACCCAGGAGAGAGGAGGAATTTGGGAACATAAGAATCATTGTCCTCAAAGCAGGAGACAAAACCAACCGCAACTCCTTCATAACTACATCGGTCTTCTTTCCCTCCTTCACCAAAGTCCTCATTCTCCCAAAGTCATGTCCACTGGTGGAAAATGAATCAGCAGACCCCACCAAAAGAAACCCTTGGTTTTGTGGTGTGGCAAAGTAATGCTATCAGCATTCTCGCCAACCAGAATCGGTGTGCACCATCCCCTTCCCCTCCCACCATGATCCATCTGATGATTATGCTAAAGGGAAACCAAGAAATATTCCTTAATATAAATGTCAAGCTTCGTCACCTTTTTGACTAAATGTAACATGTTACCTCTTAATAAAAATGTCTCATACAGTTTATATTCCATAGAAAATATATGTGGGGAAGAAATTTTCCCCCCAATTAAAAAAATTTTGTTAACACTGTTTCTACTTATTTAAAATACTTATATGGTATTCTGTAGCTTTTAAAAACTATTTTTACCCTGAAAAGATTTTATTTCCAAAGCATGCCATGTTAGAAAAAGGAGTACATATTGATTAAATACTGGAATCTTGAGTTGTTTTGAAGCTCCTTAATGATGTTAGAACCATCATCCAGAAATATATATTCCCCTCTTCATTTCCTTTACATGGAATTCCTAAAACACATGTTAATGTGTACCATGCGTTTTACACATGGCAATGCTTCATTTTGAAATGCAAAAATTGAAACACAAACCATGCAAGTCCTCTACTGCCTGGAGCGCCTGGTTTGGGCATCACACTCTCTGCTTGGGAGGAGATGCTGGATTTGTGACAGGATCGCAGTGCTAATCTTATCTTGCTGTGTGGTCTGAGACCAACCTGGGGGTGGGGCTGGTCTGAGCAGCAGGGAGAAAAGTGGATAAGGCTTCACCTCCCTCCTGTCCAAAAAATTAATCAGCTATTATTTAAAAGTTTTATGGAGACAGAGGGAGGGATAACCTGTATTCAAATTTCCACAGATGTCAAGCCGAAACAGAAATGCTAGTGGGTAATAGCCTTGTTTTCCTTTTCCCAAGAGATACAGCTACTTTGGAATGTCAGATTAGGACTGTTACCAACTCCACTGGCGAGACAGCTGGAATTAGTTGCTAATGGATGCAGTATTTGAGAGGTGCATATGGTTATTTATAGGGAACGCAAATGTCCTCGATGTCATTAATGGTTCATAACTATGACTCTTGTTTACCAAATGATCATTAAATCTGTTTTTAAAAAAAGGACTGTCAGCAAATGGCAGAGATTATATGAAGTTTTCTTCTTGCTTGTTAGAAGAGTGCCTTGTATAAGAAAAAAGCATCTGTGTGATTTTTCCAGGTGAGAGAAGCAGCAGTCTCTTTTCATGACTTCATCCCATGAACACTCTGAGTTTAGAACAAATACGGCCATCAAGTAGGCAGCTACCCACAGTCACCTCCATCCCATGTGTGAATACTTCATCACATAGCTAAGTACATGTTACAGCTACTAATTATACCTATTGCATAGAAGACAAGAAATATTTTGCATGAGGAATGTGGTTCTTTAAGCAGCTTAAACAAATTTAGCTGTTCCACAGCTGGTTAATGAATTATCAACTTGCCTTGTTGCCAAAACAAATGCAAGTCAAGATAATCTACAGCAAGCCACTTGTAATTGTGTAGCGTTGTCTAGATTCCTGACCTGTTTTCTATACTTCTTGTCTTTCGGAGTAATAGTGAAGGGATGAGTTGTATTCTCATTTGACTCTACATTCGTTTTTTTTTTTACTGTCTTATCCCAGTTACCAAGAAAAACAGTATATTCCCTAAATTTAAGTTTGAAATAAATTGATAACTGAGTCAAGAAGAGAATATTGCTGCTTTTTTCACATTAGCTTCAAAAGTAGAATTAGGATACATTTAATTTAAGTTCATTCTTTATTGCAAAATGTTTTTTAAGTGAAAATGTAAGAAAAAAACTTTTCGTTTCTGACTCATAAGGTACTCCAGAAATCTGCTGAAGACCAAAATAATACAAAGGGAATATATGCTAATACTTTGGCCAAGAATTGAACACGATGAATTTTGAAAACATTCAAATTCCAGTACAAATAGCCATTGGTAGAAATTATAGTAAAAATGTACAAATGACACAGATAATATGAGGGTTTTTTTCTCCCCTATAGCATGCGAAAACAGCCGAAAGAAAGGCCAGCGCCTGAAGAATTGATGGTAAGTGAAGTTTTTAGTTACATTAGAATTCTCAGTTATATATTTATGTTTAGCATTCTGTTTCAAATTCGTTTTTTAAAACAGCTGTAGGCTCTAAAAAGGCAACATTATGTACTTCACTTGGGTAGATGTTTTTTGAAGCTCATATCCTCAGATAATAGTTTTCACTTTTTAAAAACCCACCTCCTGTTTGAAACTTAATGCAGAACTCTTCATTTGCCTCACTCAAGGGTCACAAACTTAATGCTGGTTACTCTTATCCTCATTAGCTATTAAACCTTTTAGAATTCAGAGGATTGGTAACAGAGAATATCATCAGCACAATAAATTTTTAGTGCAATTCTGCAGAAAATTTCTGAATATGGCTGGAGTCCTCTTAGATTCGTGTAGAATGAAATTAAACTGGCTGCAAAAGATCAAGTTAACGTGAATCTTTGGTCTTTCCTCAGAAAGAGACAGCTACAAGGCTGAGTGCTGTGTTCTCAGCTCCAAGGCAGCTTTCTTTGATTGCAAATGACAGTTTTTAGTCAAGCAGGGAGAGGAACAGAGATGCTCCCTAACAATTCCCAAATGGTCATTTATTTAGTGCAGATTGTTGATTTGACAATGCACAAGCTGTTAGAATAACATTAGGATTGAGCATTAGTAAATAATAATTATAGTCTGTTCTTCCTGATATTTTGCATACCAATCCCTGCCTTTAGATTACTACAGTCCGAGCAAATTCCTACCAATTTTCTTTTACCTTCTTTACACAATACGCATTTTACAGATAGCGGCTCAGAGGTTTTTACCCTTTGATTTCCAACCTAATAAACAGTTTCAGTGCCCAAACTTTTGTAAAATATGGATTTCCTCCTCAAATAGAAAATAACAGTACATTTCCTTTTTTGTATCTTGAATGCTTTTCAGCAAGTTCCATGGAGCAAAATTTCAGTTTTCAGGGTAGCTTCAAGGTAAAGATCACCCCTAAAAAGCTCTGCACTGTAGAACTCTGCAGGTTTCATGTCTAGAATAAACTGGCCTCTTTTTTTTGGTCTCTCTGATGGTTGGGAAATTCTTGCAGTTAGTCACATTTGAGAAAACTTGGAACAGGTTCTAGAGATGGAGACCCATTTACCTTGTGCTTTATTATGTTATGGTTGGATAGCTCAGCTATTAAAACAAAGGAATGGGGTTTCATAAAACAGATATTTGTTTGTAAATGCATGTTTCAATGCCGCAATGAGTTGGCCACTTATAAATAAAACATCTGCAGATCACACATACACCCATAAATGTATATGGATGTATACGTTGGTAAGGAACACCACTCCAGGGTGGCACATCGTAAAGACAAGGCTACAGGGTGAGTACTCTCAATGCCTTGAAAGCAAGTGATGTGTGTGTGTGTGTGTCCATGTGTGTGTGTGAGAGAGAGAACATATGTATTTAGATATATCTCTTTACAACTCTACACCCTGTTGTGTGCGGTCCCACATTTTTAATTAATAAATATCAATAAATCAATAAAATACAATGAGAAATGTAGTCAGAGGAAGCACCATGCAATACTTAATTTAACATTATTTCTAGTACTGCTCACTGTTTGATTTTAAATGAACGTATTCCCAGAGGTATAGCAGTGATGAGGCACCACTGCTTTGGCAGGGCTCAGTGAGGAGGCAGGGAACAATAGACTCTATGTGAAGCTGCTGTGGTCAGAGAGTGGCCCTGCCCGGACTTTGGCCAAAAGATTGGGCCCAATATGGGCTCAAAAAGAATGTGAGTTTTCCTTTGTCTTGAGGAACCTGAGCCACATCCTAGGGGCCCAATCTTAAGGAACCAGTCTCTTTATTCCTTCCAGCATATTAATGGCTTTAATTTTTCCTTTTCTCTCCCCGCCTACAACCTATCTGATGGTGCTCCCATCTGGAAGCTGAGAGCCTCCTCTGGAATGCATGAACTGTAGAGCCCATTTGTCACTCTGGGTGGGGGCCTGTGCCTTTCACAAAAAGAGCAGTTTATCTCCCAAGCACAGTAACTCCAGCCAGCAGGGTACCAGTGTGGGCTGCATGGGCTGCTTCAAATGTGAGGCCTGCAGGATTGTCAAGGTTTCCCTGTAGACCTCCATTTCCAAATCAAAGAAAGAAAATCAGAGATGGGCAGATGCAAATACTGGAAGTTACAGATTCACTATTTGGGAACTCCTATATGAACTCCAGGTGTGACCTTGACCAGTGAACACAGTAAGTCCCAGTCTAAGGAAATCGGAATGCAGGACTGGTGTGACAGGTCACCCTGACTGCTAGGTCTGGGCCATGCAGAGTGGGCACTCAGGTGGTGAGGTCACTGTTTATACTAGAATACCCCTTATCGAGTCTTAAAATTACCATCTGGGCAATCTCTGCCCGTGTCAGTCTTAAAGATGGAATGTAACACTCAGGGTTAGACTTTGCAGATCCTTACAATCCCAGTATTAGAGCTCATTTGGTTGTTTAGTTATTTTATCCCCTCTACTCTGTGTGGTGGTTCTTACGATGGTTTTCAGTTTTTATATCCTCAGTGGAAGTATTTTAAAGTCGAACCAAGAAATTCCTTTACTGCTCACATTTGAGCTGCTGTGGTTTTCTGGTATGTAACCATTAAGCTACATCAGAAGTTCTCTCAAAAATTTAGCATCAGCATCTACATCATCCTAAGAGATCTCAGAACTCAGTAAATAATTGAATTTGGTAGTTGATAGACCACTGTGCACCGTCTTCTTCTAGACACAACAGAAGATACAAAGTAGAGGAAGCCACACAGATACAGTCTTTCAGGGGATATAGCAAGTATACAAATAACTTGAAGTACTGTTATAAAAGAACTGCAGAGTTTTGTGGAGATCCATTTGGGGACATGAGGAAAAACTGGGTGGAGAAGGTAGCATTTGCAAAGGGCCTTTGGAAGATGAAGTGCATTTTAATAGAGAGTTTTGAAGGGGCCATTCCAGGCAAAGGAAACAGGATGGGCAAAGCATGAGTATATGTTGGTCTCAGACCTTTTCAGAGCAGTGTAAAGCCTCTAGTGCCTGCTGGAACAGAAACCCCTTCAACATATTCACCACTAGCTGGGCAGTCTCTTAAGAAATTCCACTTCTATAGAAGGAATCCCAGAAACAGCACACCTACCACATGGATCTTTTTCTTGAGTGAATTCTTTTTTGCAGTGGTGTGGGAGAGACGGAGCCTTGCTCTTGTCACCCAGGCCTGGAGTGCAATGGCACCATCTTGGCTCACTGCAACCTCCACCTCCTGGGCTCAAGCGATTCTCCTGCCTCAGCCTCCCAGGTAGTGTCCACCACCACGCCTGGCTAATTTTTGTATTTTTACTAGAGACGAGGTTTTACCATGTTTTCCAGGCTGGTCTTGAACTCCTGCCCTCAGATAGTCCACCAGCCTCAGCCTCCCAAAGTGCTGGGATTACAGGTATGAGGCACTGTGCCCAGACGAGTGAATTATCTTGAATGGACTCCCATTCAAGTATAGGGAGGTCCCTCATCCTTGGAAAAGGTGTGACCTTCAGTTCTTTAAGAGCCTATTGCATAAATCAGGAGTCAGCTTTAAACCCTGCTGTAAAGGTAAACCAAGCATGCAGGCAGTCAAGAACATTCAGCATGCTGACACAAGACAGACAGACAACACCTCCACCTCCACCTCCAGTTCTTTTCCTGTGATATTAAAGAATCTGCTTTTTTTTTTTTGAGATGGAGGCTCGCTCCATTGTCCAGGCTGGAATATAGTGGCATGATCTCAGCTCACTACAACCTTCGCCTCCCAGGTACAAGCAATTTTCCTGCCTCCGCCTCCCGAGTATCTGGGACTACAGGCTTATGCCACCACACCTGGCTAATTTTGTATTTTCAGTAGAGATAGGGTTTCACTATGTTGGCCAGGCTGGTCTCTAACTCCTGACCTCATGATCCACCTGTCTCAGCCTCCCAAAGTACTGGGATTAAGGCGTGAGCCACCCCGACCCCATGCAGCGAAGAATCTGCTTTTAAATCACGCTGCTGCAACTCACAGAAAAGACCCGTGTCAGTGCTGCCCCAGCTCTGTGAACTGGGACCAACAAACTTAGGGACAAATTTTCAGATAGTAGAGACCCTGAGAAGGCGGCAGACACAGTGCTCAGCAGGCTTCAGACAACTGTGCAGGGATTCCATGGCTCATGTGGGAAAAAGCCAGCCCCTTGCCAGTCAGAAAGGGTTGGTGGGGCTGCAGCAAGAGGGGAGAGAGAAAGAATGCAAGGATGGTAGAGAAATCTCCCTAAAATGTCAGTAATCAACTCGGGGGATGCAAAAACATAAAAGTCAGACCCTTAAACTGAGGGACAAAGACAGCCTAAGATGAGAGCATTAAGATGGGGGTTCAGGTTGGTTTTGCTATTCAATTTCTATGTTTAAATATTTTTAAATAAAAGGGATATGTGAGACATTACTGTATAGACCATTTGCTTCTCTAAACCACAAAGAATTCCTTCTGAGGAATTAATCTTCCTTCAGAATTATTTGGTAGAGAAGGTCAAGCTGTGACTTAGCAGGAAGAACCTCCATCACGTCCATTCACTGTGTAACCTCAGCCAACTCCCCATCCCCTCTCCACTTCAGTGTCTTCATCTGCAAAACCAAGGGGTCAGCCCTTGACCAATGGACTGTGACTTTAGGAAGTCAGAGCTCCAGAAATTACATCCAAAGTTATGTATGCATGTGGAGATGTGCTTTTTCATCCAAAAAGAGGAATTCCTGACTGCTGCATTTTTCAAAGGGGACCCTGACCCTCAGTGATTGTTAAGCTCCCTAGCTTCTGTCCTTTAGAGTTAACTGGCCAGGTGCCTACTGTAGGGAGGGAGGCATTCCGTCAGCAAGAGAGTGCATGCTTGGGGGTGGGGGGTGCTTTCTGTGGGGTTCAACAGGGCTTTGCACCAGATGTCAGGCAGCCCTTTAACCTCTCTGCCTAGCCTGACTGTGGGCCTTGACT